ATTTGCCTTCTTTAAGCATACGATCTCTCAAGTTGTTAATTTGTGTAGTTATCTCTTCCCAAAACAGGTTAACGTCCTGTTTGAACTTATCATTGATATCATCAATTTGAACTTTATTGTTCTTTATTGACGACAATAATCGTTTAGCTTCAGTCTTGCATATTTCCGGTCCCTTGGTCAAAGACTCCAGCTCTGTTGTGCCTTTAAGATCATTTGCCTTATCAAGAATATAATCGACCTTACACGACTTATGACCTATGATCATACAATCTCCGCAACCAACTTGCTCGTGCTGTGCACAATAAAACTTCACTGATTCATTCAAGTGTTGCTCGCATTTCTCAAAATTACTAGAATCTTCTCTTCGTGTTATTTCCTCATTACAGTCCATTAAAGTGTGATCTCGATTAAGCTTATACTTTTTGTGTGCATTGAAACAACTCGAACACATATGCTCTTCACAATTCGTACAAAATCCATCCGCTTGAGTCAACACATCACTTTCTTCACATGGTTTGCAAGATAAATTATTTATTTCCCTCTTTCCAGGAACCTCCATTGCTTTCAAACAGAATTATTCAATGCAATAAATGAAAACTGAAGGCGAAGTCATTCATTAATTTAATGTATAAAATGCACACATCTGGTAAAATAACGACGCAAATGTGTGGAGGACAGCATCTATAGAGAGATAAATAAATATTTAAATTAAGTAAACATATACATGTACATGCACGGTTTAACATTAGATATATCTGTAGAAAATGATAATTGATTAATAAAATTCGTTAAAACCGAACCCAGACTGACTTTTGTTTCTTGCTAGATTATCTAATTAATTTGCAAAAGTTTAATAAATAAAATTTCGCCCCACTGGGACATGTAGCGAGATTTAAGAAATAGAACGGCGGGGTCGTGGGACGTAAACACGCTCATTAGTTGGGTGCAGGACGAAGTTTAATACATAAAATTTCGCCGCACGACCCCGATAATTAGCTTGTTTTTGTCCCGCGACCCCGCCAAGCTAAAAGTCAATTATAAACAAATTAAAATGGTGGGGCGCGGAGCGAAAACATAATAATTAGCTTGGGCGCTAATAAGTGTGTTTTTGCTCCGCGACCCCGCCGTTTTATTTCTTAAATATCGCTCCGCGCCCCCGAGGGCGAAGTTTTATATATTTAACTTCACCCTGCCCCTCGCTAGTTAGCGTGCCATTTCAACTTGTTAAATTTCGGCTTTTCGCTTGGCGGATCGCGTTGCCAAAACACCAGTGGCACAAATCAGCCACCATAATTAAGCATACAAACTTGTAAACTTCCGTTGTATTTAAGTGTCCTAAAATTATCACTGTTTATGCGTAGTATAGTCGGATCGATTTTCAGTTACTTGTGTACAGGCAATATTGATAACTCAGTGTTAACAGTGTTCATAGTGTTTATGCATAAAGTCTTTAAACCCTATATCTTAAAACATTATGTACAAATACAATGTAGGCCTACATATTTAGATAAGCAGTTAAAATTTTAATGCAAAGAAATTGTTTTTGGAAACTCAGCATACGCATAGTTCGATCTAATAATCTAAAAGTATATAAGCTAAATGCATAGAGCAAAATCAATTCAAACACAATTTCATTTGTTACATTTAAATTAAATTTAGATCTAGTTTATACAGGTTGATATATTACTTTTCTGTTCAATAGTTAAGATATAAATAAATACTGAAATTAATCTATAATGTGATATTTTAATATATCGGAACCGAAAGTTCAATTTTACATAGAAAATGATGTTTTAAATGTATTCTTGCTAATATGTTTTGATTAACCACAAACACATAATAACAGTAATAAAGCAATCCTTTTTACATCATTTTGTTTCACTTAATTAGTGTAGCCTTAAGAAACACTAAAACGAAAGTAGGTTATATATTATAGCAATTAATTGCATAATTTAATTATTTTTAAACCGATACTATGTTATAACATGTATGTTGCATTAAATAAATACATACCAATGTAATTAATACCCAAAGAAACAAATATTAAACCAGTACACTAAAACACATTTGTTTTTGCTTTTTCTTCGTAAAGCAAATGATGTCATAAAGTAAGACGAACCGTTTTGCAAAATATCGTTATCGACAGCGTAATTCAAATCCTTTAACTGGCATGTAAAAGTTTATCTGTTTAAATCTTTCTATCATGCTAATAACAATTGTATTATTTCATTGTCATTATTTTATTGTCTTATGTCAATGCAACTGCACCAAACACATCGTTCCTTTTAAGCAAAACTATGTGATGAAATCCTCTTGCTGTCCTGTATGATACTGCACACCATACCGTTTGATAAACATATATATATATACTCCCCTAAATAGCACAGTCACTCACACCAACATATCTTAGCAAATAACATAAAACAAATCATTAATAATAACAAAATGTATTAAAGGGACAAGAAATTATGCATTAAGGCAGAAATGTATGCTTTTTTCTTCATTACTGTTGAATTGTATGAGTTATACGTCACGGCTCAATGCGAGCCTGTGTTTTCTAACACTTACTTTATTATGTTTGTATCGCTCTGTTGAAGTTTTAATTGTTGACCTTAAGCGTTTTCCAAAGACAAATGAGAGTTATTTTTCCAACTTAATGCCAACATTAAGTCATGATTATACAATGTGAATTATGAAAAAAATCAGTAAGATTCATTATGAATAGGTTTCAGACATACAATCTATATTCTTAATGTCTAAAAATGATTACTTTGCATTATTTGGACGAATTACCTTTGGGCAATGCTTCGTTTTCGAGTCAATCAAGTAAAGTGTTTGTCAGCATTGAAGTCAATACTTGCTTTGGTCTGGACCAAACTTTGTAACATTTTAAGTAAAATCTCTCTGTTTTTTTCAAAATATACTCATTACGAGACTTAAGATAAATACTGAACGAAAAAAAAAAAAAACAACTTCAGAACTATCGTCGTCATTCAGATTTTCGCATTTATTTTTGTTCCAATAAAGTAACTGGGCAGATAGTTAACACAACAACATTTTCTTTCCTTTCTCTATAAATATATGTTTTACTAGTCTCAATAAAATGGACAAAAAATCATCATGAAAAAATCAAATCAATTCCGAAAATCTTTAAAAAACGGCATATGCAATAAGACACATGGTAAAATTAAGTAAATTCAAAGAATACAATTGACAAATCTAGCTAGTTCATGTGCCTATTTTACGCCGCGAAATGTTTTATTAACTGTAGCAGACGATTTTTTTGCTTTAAAAGTAAATAAGTCAAAACTTACACTAAAATCTTATGCTGGCAATGAAATTGAATTGTGACGACTTGCGCAAATGATCTCTGGTAGCACTACCTAACGTAAAACATTTGGACGCTTGGAAGTCAAGGAAGACAACTCCGGATCCAGTTGACAATCTTTTACCAATGATTTATGTTTAAAGGAAGAAATATACATAAATAACAAATTAATAATAATTGAATTTTCGATTCCACAAACTCATCGATTTCGTTAACATGCCTTCGGCTGTACATTTTGGACCCTAGTCAATGTTATTTCAAATCACTAACACTTGCCATATATCAAACTTAAGTTTTAGTTTGCTATATGATATCTAACACTTCAATAGCAAAATTGAAATAAAAAAACTACTTTGTATATTCAAAACGTACAACTGAGACTAAAAACCCATTACAATGGATATTATCTATTTTAAACTTATTTCAAACATGGATAACGGTATAATATAAAATCGTTTTTCATAGTACCGCTTTCAATTATAGATAAACATTTGATTATCTGTACGACCTTGTATCAAAGGAAAAAAGAACTCAAAACGGCAAACAACTTCCGCTTTGATGAAAATACATTTTACAAAAAACTTGTTTACTCCGCATTCATGGTCTAAAAACAATACAAATCTGATTCCATGAAGACGATACATTTTACAAGACATCTTGAATATTTAGTCCACATAAATGGAGCCTATGTCAACCTAAAACGGTACTTAAACATAATACTTAAGATTTTATTGATATGTGGTAATATCTATGATATGTAGGCGAAATGTCAAAAATGAACATAAAACCATCCTTTAACATATACTTTGACGCTTAACTTTGAAATGTTCACTCTTATCATATGATTTCATAACACTAAGATTTAAGATTAAACGCAATTTTTACTAACTGTTCACATACTCTGTGAAACATTCCAACAAAATTATGTCATCGCGACAAGTTTTGCAATAAATTACTGCAAACTCGTTTTATTGCAAAAACCGCTTGTAACATACGTATGTCATCTTCCATGCATCATCCAAATGCTCCCACTACCGTTCACTTAATTACCAGGAATGTATTCAGAAAGCGCCATAAGTATGAAGTGACAGTTTTCTAGAATTTCAAATGCAAGCGTTCCTTTTCTTAAGTCTGAAAGTTTGAAAAATTTATACACATTTTTTGTTGTCGAAAAAACAAGGCAACGAAAATGTACCAATGTACTTTTCTTTCAAAGTTCAAAGGAGAGGAAACATATACCATCCTTAAAGGAAGAAGTTTAGTCTATTCAAACATAAGGCCCCTAAGCCGAAAATTTCAGTTCCTGGCCTGCTACAGAATAATGTTTAGAAACATTATTTTGTAATTTAAAATATATCTTGATTGTGAAAATAAAACGTCAGTTTCAATTTAATTTACTGAAAAAGATATAAACAACACTATGAGCTGAAAAATACTCATCTATATCATCATCAGTTTCTTACGGCTGAATGTTGTCTGAGTTTCTCGATTGTTGAAACTTCGGACACTCGGTCCTGAACTGCAGGAAGCCTGCACGTGCGAAGCATTAGACTCTCCGAAATGGATAAAAAGTCTCGAACTGACTACTAGTAGTACTAGTAGAAGCAGAAATAGGCTCAAATAGCCGAAACATGAGCTCGACTTCTTTTTTGACCGGGCTTTCTTTAGTAATTCTTTTTACTGTATTTAATTGTCACATTAGTATTATTTGTGTCGTGTGGCGGCTGCAAAACTGTAAAAAGTCTACCCGTATATTTAATCAAATATTTTATATATTTATTATACTTTTTGAGCTAAGCTCCAGACAAAACAGCATGAAAAAGAACAAAGGACAATAACTCAAAAATAATATAGGGAAGAGTAATCATTTTTGCACACAGCATTCCTCCTCAATAAGATCTATCCACCTATGACGTTTCATGTTGACATCTCAAACACTGTTTGAGTTATGCTCCACAAACTAAAAATTAAGTTTAAAAAATAACAAAGGGCAATAACTCAAAAATTATGAAAGGTAGGGTTATCATTCTTTTGCACTGCATTCCTCCTTAATGAGAATTATCTACCTATGAAGTTTCAAGTTGATACCTCAAATACCTTTGAGATATGCTCTGGACAAAAATGTCGGGCGGAAGGACGGATGGATGGACGGACGAAAACTATTTCTATATCCCCGGCCTCCTTTCGGCGGGAAATAAAAAGCATTAGTAAATACAGGCTTATCTTATCATTTTTGCATAAAACTATGTGGTGCCATTTGAGATATTTTGCTTATCGTATTGGGTACGCTTCATTATTAATTATATTTTAGCATTAATGTTTGATACTATTAGTGAAAAGTCAGCTGACGTAAGATAAGTGAAATATATTGGGGACATAACAAACATTCTAAACTGCACAAATCAAGTCAAATTCTGGAAACAAAGTGATCCCTTGGATTTTTTAATCACAACAAAATTACATGAAAATTGCAGACTCGGTTTGATTGAAACTGTACATGGGGGATAATGAATAAGTGCAACATCCATTATGCCCCCTACCACCGGCTTGAACTATACTCAATTCTCAACACTTAATAGTGCTGGTATCAATGATCACGAAGGACCAGAAAAATATAACAACACTAAGATTAAGTTTGAGTATATTAATTAAAATATTTTGAAAATCATATGATTATACATACTGAGACACCATCAAATACAAAATACATCAACAAACTGTTTACTTACTGTCGGAAATATTATTTGCCACTTTAAATAACATACTGACTTAAAGATATATTATATATATTAAAACATTTAATGTTTATAAAGCAATTGTACAAACATGTAGATTATATTTGATACAAATAACTGTTGTAGTTAAAACAGAATGACTTGATTAATACTAAAATTTAATAGTTGTATCAACATATGACTTGAAGCCAGTGACCATTATCTATAGCAAAAAGTAAATAAACAATTATTGTAATGATAAAAAATAGTCAAAGAAATACAAAACTAATGTAAGTATGAAAAATAGTAATTTAACTATATACATTGTTATAACTTATGTATGTATTGTTGTAATCTGGTTTATAATTAGATTCAATATGATATATACATGACCTTCCGGTGATACCTAGGATATGGGATGAAAGTGACAACTATTTTTGTATATACGATATAAGGACATAACATACATGTAATTAATAAATCCAAATTCATGGTATTTTCACATAATGCAAAGTGAATTAAAAGTATTTAATAGAAAAATACATATTGTCCGAAAAAAAAAAAGTCTGTAAAGTTTTATTAACATTAAGAAATTGAAGTGTACAATAAAGTATACTTCTAAAGTAATACCTGCCTACATGTGTGGAATATACAAATATTATGTTACTTTTGAATTGATGTTGGACCATAGCTTTAAGATATACTATGTTCAAATTTGATATCAGAAAATATTGATGATTGCTACACAGTCTCTATGTAAATATGAAATAAACATGTTCTAACTTCACACAAAGTTGATATGTCATATTATAAATTCTACACACTTTAAGTCGCCACAAAATGAATATATAGCGGCGTTAAAAAATGCGATTTATTTAAGAAAAGACCAACTTTTCTTGTCCTATAATAGAGAACGTGACTGCCAATACATAGTTTTGTTCTTTTTTCTAATTCAAATTAAACATATTCAGTAAGAATTTCATAGGTTTCAATAAATTTATTTTCAAAGATGAGCATAGAATATCTTTAATGTTAAAATAAACTTACATAGGTGATATGAAAGTTAATGAATTTCATATGAAATAAGGAATTGTAAAGTCATTTCAGCCAAAATTGCTAGACGAATGCCGAAATGTAATAAAGTGAAAAGTTATGATTTTCCTTTTTTTTATTGAGTCTGACAATAAGAGATATATAAGGTGCCACTGGTTTTTTCAGCTTTGTTATTTAAACTTAAGAATCAATTGAAGTCGTTACTTTAAAAGTCTTAAGACAATTTACGTGAGCCCTCACTGAAGTATAGAAGACACAAACGATTTTTATGTCATTAATGGCCTAAAAGACTTTACATTCTAGTCAACTACCATTACTTTTAAGTATTTTTGGCTTTCATATAGGCCTCTATGCATCTAAAATTACTTTGACCTTCTCTCCAGAAGATTGCATCCCAATTGCAGGATATAAGCGAAAATTGACATTGTCAATTGTCCTTGTTCCAACCTGAAGGAAAACAATAGAGAAATTGATTTTTTTTTATAGAACAATTAATTTTATAATTTAATAAATTAATAAAAATGTGAATGGGAAACAAGGAAAAGCTTAAAGTATGAAAGTGTATAGTTCCAGTCATTCTGTTCTGAATATTTTTTTTACATAAATTTAAAGTATACGTACATGTATATAATAAGATTGGGTTATGTTAAATTGTACTGGTAAAACTAACACTTAATCTAAAACATATTGTTTCAAAGCATTTTTACCCCTTTGCCATTTCTCGTAAAAACAACATTCACAGTAAAACTATCATGATAACATCTGTCCCTTTAAATAAAATTTATATTTATACATTATTCAACATTATTATTCGGCAGACTGGTATTTCTTGTATCATGTCGTTATCAGAAGAAATCATTACATTTCTATAACTAGATTTTTATCTTTCCAGGTAAGATGACTTTTCATTTTGATCTTACTAAGTAATCATAATAGATTCTAATATTCTGTGAATGAAAAACGTAACAAAATAAATAGTTGATTATATACTAAAACAAAATCTCACAACTGAAATTTGAAACTGTATAGTTACTTAAATTAATTCCTGCCTTTTTTGAGGTTGACCTAATGTCAATATAACAGCAGGATATTAACAGTGATATCTAATAACCCGGACTATAATAAATTATCGTATCAATAGTATTTTACCAACTGTTGTATAGTGTTCACCGAAAATAGCCCCTCAAAACATCGAAAACGAAAGTAAAAAGTCGTACATGGAGTCCACCCGAGCTAATGTTTCGATTAATTTCTCCATTATCACTTAATCGAATTTTGTGAAGCTGAATATATCTGGTTTTAGAAAAGTATTTGCTTTTTTTTCTTCAAATTGAATACTCTTTGTTAAATTGGCGATAAATTATAGCGTATTTGTTGACATTTGCGTACGCTGTTGATAATTACCACTTAATTAAGCCTTCTGTATCAAAATGCGTCTTAAATACAAAATATAGTCTTCCCTCTTCTTGTATTTGAGTGGTGACCCATCAACTTTAGCTGCGTTTTGCAAAATTTGCGAAAAACAATCTTCTTGTGAGTACAGTGTCTAGCAAGAAAAACAAATTTAAATAAACGGGATGTAGTGTTTTAATGTACGGGTTTAAGTAGAATGTGAACGGTGTCTAGCCGTCAAATATTTTTCAATGTTTATAGTCTTTAATGAGCTTACAGTCATTCTGATGTAAAGAATGACACAAGGTCATGAATGTTAATTTAATTGATTACTTAAATTTATACTATAACATGAAAGTGTGTCATTCCAGGTAGCTTCTTGCTTTTTTACAAAAACAGTTGGACACTATTCAGATCAAAACAAATTTAGTCAATTCATGTATTAATGATATGTTTTTTGTTTTTTTTTTATATTATTTTTGTTAGATGAGGCTAGCAAATAACTTGAGATTTGACACTTCCAAAGGAACACTCGCCAGATGCCCTCGTATAAATTAAACAGTCTTATGAGTTTATCTCAAGTTATCTGTGAAGAAGGGGGAGCCAAACCAACTACGAACGAAGCAATTATACAATGTACTTTGATCTGTTCTATATCATTTGCTTAATTACACACTCTTACTTTTTTATTTTTTTGTAATGTATATGATATCTTTTATTTGAAAAATAAAGGCAAATCGCCTAAAATTGCTTGAAGAATGGACTGTCTTTGAAATGTACTGCAATGCACAGCTTTTAGACTATACTTATTATTAATTAAGACAAATCATACAAGTCTACTGTAAAGTTCTACCAATCTGTAATGAAATAAGGTCTACTGAGTTGTATATTTTTCCTATAAACTCCAAGTCACATATGAAATGTTGTCCAGCAGGACGGAAACGGTTTCCTACCATTAATATTCATGTTATGTATATCTAATTTAGTATTTCTTATTTTACTTTTTTATCCCTTGAAAAATATTAAAACGTTTCACTTTACGATTCCTGCTCCCGCCATCGATCGTTATTCATTCATCAGCGTACGTACATGCTCGTAGTTAAGTTTATTTGCAGAAAATAGCATTCGTTCACCTAATACACCCAATACACTTGCCAAATGTTTTCCACCTACACCCCATGCACAAACGTGCTAGACTCTGTACACAGGCAAGACTGTTTTTCGCAAATTTTGCCAAAAGCAGCTCGAGTTGATGAGTGATCACTCAAATATAAGAAGGAAGACTATATTTTGTATTAAAAACACATTTTGATACGTAAAGTACGTTTTGGGCTTGATTTAGTGGTAAATATCAACATCGTACGCAAATGTCAACAAATACGCTACAATTTATCGCCAATTTAACAAAAAGTATTATATTTGCAGAAAAAACAAACTCTTCTCTAAAACCAGATATAGTCAGCTTCACAAAATTGTTTGGAAAGATCGATTAAGTTATAATGGTTGAAACATTACCACGTGTAAACTCGACGTACGCCTTTTTACTTAAGTTTTCGATTATTTGAGGGGCTATTTTCAGTGGTCGCTGTATAACAGTGTTACCGGCACGTAAGAAACATGTATGTCTGGAGACCAATCTTGTCACCAACGTGCCATGTCGGTCCAAACTGAGTCTCTGTTCCTCTTTCGTGATAAAGCCTGAAAGATTTAACAACACAAACATTGCAAAAATGTTTTCATATAAACGATTTTAAAATCATCCTTTACAACTTTTGAACAAACAGCACTATCATTAACTTGTTTTCCATAAATATGTTGTACTATCATTAACTTGTTTTCTAAACATATGTAAAACATCGATTTATAGTTAAATAATGTATAATGGCATTGGATCACTCATCAGTTAAAGAGTTATCGTCCGAAAACATTTTTGTGCAAAACACAAACATAGAAATAAAGGCCATGAAAAATTAAGTGTTTGAATCACAATTGAAACTTGGTATGTATTTTATGATGTTACTTGTGTGTACCAAGCATTATTACAATCCATCATCTGATTATGAGTTATCATCTGGAAATCTTATTTTTGTAAAATCAAACTAGAGAAAAATGGACAACAACTAAATGTAAAAATATAACTCTAAGCGGAATTTGAACTATATCTGTATCTCGTATTTCATGAGTTATAAATCTGTACCAAAAAAATTTAAAAATAAAAGTTAGAGTTATCATCCAAAAACATGAAACCGACAGACAATTATCAACGAACAGACACACAAGCTTTCTTATTCCACACCTTACGTCTTTTATTGAGGTTCAAAAACATCATTGATATAAAGTAAATACCGACTTTTGGTAGTTACCATGAAGTATGAAATAGCCAATTGTATATATTCCAAAATAAAAAAAAGAAGAAATGGCAAAAAGAATCACCTTTCTTCCGAAATTATCGTGAGTATTATAGACTTTCTGAATAAGACTTTCATTAGGGACAATAAAATGTGAAAAAATCTATCACTCTTGGGTTAATGTATATGCGATTTTTCTATGTGTAATTTCTCGCTCATGACTTTCTTTCTTTCATAGAATAACAATCTCAATATATTTCATTTAAGAAAGACGGTTATATTTGATTTTCTAAGATGCATTTCGCTATCTCACCTATAATTTATTTTACTAATGCAATTCTACAATAATTAAGTCACGTTTTAATCATGTATTCATACTCTTACCGCAGCAAATGACATCAATATGACAATTATCATTACAACATTGTTAAAATGCCTTACCGGCCATCGTCTCCATGATATCCTATAGAGTTCTCTTTCCATCCAGGCTGATTATTTGCTGGGTAATCGTCTGGCACCAAACCCAAAGCTTATATTATAAAGATAAGTGAAACAAATATATAAAGTTACATATTGCGTTGTGATTCTTTGGTGAACATATAAAACGTAATTTTTTAACTTTTTCAATAAAGGAAATTTATTGAAAAAAAAGAAAGAGAATATTTTCATGTGAAATTATTGTTTAGCATTTCAACTTACAATAAATTGTCGTCTAAGAATAAAATAAGCCTTTTCATACCAATTATTCCGCTCCGTCCTAAACTCAATATCTCAATTTCGAAGTATCTTCCAGCCACTATTTCATTCTTATCAACGTACAGTCCAACATCTCTGTTACCATTGTCTGCATAACTGCAATTGTATGCGTATATTTATTTTCTTAAATAAAAATAAAGTCATAAAGACAACGCTTTATGCTTCATCACTAGAGTTAAAAGGATAAAGTAAAATATATAACGAAAACCCGATTCCTGATTAGTTTTTTATATCCGTCATTACATAAATAAATTATGATAATGCAAAGTTTTTTTTAAATAATTTAAATTATATATTCCGTTTTCCAAACAAGAAATTGGGATATGATTATTTGATATTTAGTAAACGTAACTAATACACTGTTCGTTTTAAATGGACACCCACTAAAAAGCAAAAAAAAAAAAAAAAAAAAAAAAAAAAAAAAAAAAAAAAAAAAAAAAAAAAAAAACAACAAAACAACAACAGAAAAAAACAACAGAAAAACTAAAACTGTTGAATTCTATCAAAGGCTAAAATAATACGTGAGATATTCGCCATTCACTTTCATATGTCTACATATCAATTGCCTTTCTAGTAATGGTGTTGAAACAGCCTGAAAAGAAAAAAAAAGATGTTTAAGACACAGTAAATTATAGTATATGTATTTAGAAAATTACCAAGATTCAAAGTCTATATATAGTTATCACATCTTCATAATTGTGTGTCTTTGCTAAAGAAGCTTGACGGACCTGTTCTTGGTGGTTAAGCCATATTTTAAGTTAAATTTAACTTTAACATTAAATACGTTTTTAAAAGAATACATTTTATAGAATTTGAGGAATGCACTATAACAAAAAATTTAACAAAGAAATTGATATACAACAAATAATCCCTTTCTTAAAATGAAAACCTTTTATAAAAATGTAACAGTTTGAGAAATGGAACCTGTAAATCAAAGAAAAAAGGTCCGAACTTTACAAAAATAATTAAAGGATTACCTGCTCTTTTGAAACTCCTTGTTCTATGATTTCTTCTTGATCTGAAATTTGATTTATGCTAGAAACTTAAAATATAACTCTATTTTTAATATTATATAATTTATTTCTTCTTTTTATTCATTTTATTCATGTTTGTAATATTTGCTTATTACGTTTAAAATATTCACTCACTATACATACACATGTTTACAAATGTTCAAACAGTTTAAAATGCTCAAAAATTAGTCCAGGGAATAAATAGATATGTTGAAGCTGAGGGTTTACTATTCTAATCATATGTATAATATGACCAATTATCTTTTGTATTAGAGTATGAATGCAGAAAGAAATAAGAACCTGCGTTTGGTAAACTCGTTTACCGTGATTCTTGTCAGAAGCTTTAACTCAGTAATGGAAGGTGAGATTTCTAAAGAACCGTGTCATGAGCTTTTTATTCTTGCAGACTTCAATTTTATAGCAAACAATATTTAACAAGTTATTTTGATTTTGAATTTCAATAAAAAATTTCAAATAAAAAAAACAACAACCAAAAAACACACCCCCTCCAAAAAAACATACCAAGAAGAACTCATCAAATGAGTGTAACAAACAATTACACATTCAAATCCACAATTTTATCACTGATAAAATATCATGCTTGTTCCAGAAATTACTTAATATAAGAGAGTGACAAATAAAAACAAACCTAATTTGACAATAAACACAACATCCTTACAAAGTAAAACTGGTTTAAATCATTTGATTTGATCTTTACAATTCATTAGCTATTCCGATTTGGATGACAATAAAAGTATTTCCGAAACATTTTTTCTTGCCTCTTTTAAAGCATCACATTCAAGCAAATAATGAAATTCATCCCAAATAAAGTTTTATTACAGTGTGTACAGTGTCCTTTAATATCAATACACAGAATTTTTTCCATATGCAGCTATTGACGTGTAGTTTTAAATTAACAAAATATCTTAAAAGTTTAATGAGTAGTACATCTAGTTTTCCTCAAAATGACATTCGTTTTTAAACAAACAGTTAACTAAACATCAACTAAATACCACCATTACTGCAAAAACGCAATTTGTGTTTAAATAATAATAAATTGTGACTATAATCTTTAATAAAATATTAAAAAGACCAAATTTATTGTTTTATAGATGGTTTTGGACAAAATTTATCCAAGGGAATTTGCATGTATAAATTGTATGTAACTTATATTACAAATATAATATATATAAATGTTTCAATGACAGACGTTTCGAACAGTA